GGGGGGGGATCTAAAAGAGACCACATCAGTAATTTCTATGGCGATTTGAGCAAAGTCCACTTGATCTTCGGGTTGAAGCATTTCCCAGACCCCCTACATTTGGAGCCAATAGGTAGTATAAGCAGTTTGTTAGGTTACTTTTAAGGTGCTTCTGTATTCTGAAGGTATCCATGTCGCTCGAGGAGCCTTGCACAAGGATGCTTCCGGATGGTGCATTTTTGCCACAATTATACAATGGCACTAATTAATATTTTACATTTTGTATTCATTTCACCCCCCATGATCGTCTAGCTCCGTGACCCTCAAGTTTCCGGCCCAATGCACAAGTGAAAATATTTTTAGTGGGTGAGTCAGGGGGCGTTCTTAAAGCTCTCATTAGACTTTTGCTATGTCAATGTACAACAAAGTTACAGATCGTGCCGCAGTCAAATGTGGTTATGCAATATTTTTAATTAATAAAAATTGACGTGATTGACAATAACATCAGCAAAAAAAAACAAACTACAATTAAGATATGTCTCAAATCAAGTTTTTGTGTTTGAAGGAAAGGAAAAATAAGTACAGATAGGAATTGAAAAGCAGCATGAGATAAAAAGGAGGTTGGGAGGCAGATGGGGCATTGTTGCTTGAGGTCTTCGAATAACATACGATGTGACAGAACACTCATTTTGGTTTGGCAAAAGTTTAACCGCGCTTCCAACCGCAGGATAGGTAACGAGTCCGCGGGACACAAGTTGGTTATTTTCACATTAGTTCCTAGCACACTGACAGTAAAAGGAGCGTAGAGGCTAAAAAATGTTCGTTAGATTTTGGAATTGTTAATTACATAATTCGACACTAGTAAAAATGATTGTAAAACGAAAGCATGTAAATTAAATTTGAAGAAGACACTATACACCATGAGAGAAGAAAAAGAAATTTAAGCAAATAATACAACCACATTGCACATGTGATAGAACATAAACCCTGGCCAAATCTTTTCAATAGGTCAGAGAATTTGATTTTATATTTTTTTCTCCAGGCAAAATTTTCAATTTCCGCCAGAATACTCAACATACTGTTATTGCTTTATCGAAAGGACAGGAATGTAGGATTGGGACAAGATGGTTTGGGGGAGGGAAAGAGATGCAGAGGTTAGAAGGGGGGGAGGCGAGGGGATTGAGGGAAGGGGATAGGGAGGGAGAAGAGTGAGGAGAGAGGAGAAGGAGCGAGAAAAAAAGATTAACAATGGCAGGATCACAGTATCACAGCTACAAACATACAGTTCTCGTAACATCAGAGGCACCAACTGACTACTCCCAATTTTTTCTAAACTTAATAATCCAAAAATCTGGAATTTTATCAGCCCCATTGAAACATGCACGCGAAGACTCTAAATTTATTACAGAGCATATTCTCCAATGCATCTTGTATCAAGACTAAATGCAAAAAGACAGGAAAAATGAAACTAAAAGATAAAAACAAATATATTACATAAGAAGGAGCACAACAAAATCCGAACAATTTTAGAAATCCCAATTTCTGGTTTGATCCATAATGCTGGCTTCTCTGTACCATCTAAATAAAATAAACCAACACAATATCGCTCTGCCAACATTTGAAAAAAGTGGACATAAACACACTGCTCTAAATACCGTCATCTGTGGTGCAGTGGTTACGCCCTTCATTGTCGCATGCAGGAGACTTACGTTCGATCCCAAAGTGGAGAGAACATTTTTATCGGGTATCTTGAGCTTCCTGCAGGGATGTTGTATCCCTCTCACCCCGAGTTGGCCCTGACAGGCAGGGCCGGAAGGCCGCTACGCCATGATCTAAAGTGTGTCAGTAGGGATGTATAAGCACCCACAAAGCTTTCAATTAAAAAACAACAACAAAAAACTTCTCAATTATCGTTCTGTAAAATCTATGTAAACTAAATCAGTGACCATTGACTCCACATAAGGCCTAAACAAACACAGGCCTGGGTACCTCTCCATGACCAAAATAAATAAGTTTTCCCCTCAGAATCCTTCCTATAAATCCGAGTTTGGAGGGGAAAATTGAGTCTTCAGAGCTCCAGTGGGTTGAGATAATGCTATACACCAAAAGTAGCAAATAAATATGTAAAGTAAATCCACCCATAACAAACGCCAAAAAAAATGAGTATTTCGCACCATTTATAATAAGTTGTGGATGACTGATAAAAACGTAATTCAAGAGAAAAAAAAAGGATTTTATGGAAATTTGATTAGGGTTTTTCAAGAGGGAAAAAAAAGCTGGAACGCTCTCATTCTATCACAATACTTAGCAGGTCTGCAAACACATGTGTTTAGATCAGTGACCAGTTACTGACCGTCCAATAAAGGCTTGAGCTCTTCTGGGGTGCAGGTGGGCAGGGCGTGCCATAAAAAGATCATCTCCAAGGTGAGAAGACGACAGTGCTCCTGGGTGGGTCTCTGACGTTTGAACTTCTCGGCCTGCCACAGGAAACAAATGAACAGACAAATAAACAAAGATTTCTCTTCTCTTATGCCTGGCTTTTCCTTATAATTAACTCCCCATTCTTTCTTTCCTTTCTCACTCTAACTCTTCTCTTCCCCTTCCCTCTTCCTCTTCCTTACACCTCTTCCTCCCTGTTCCTTGACTCTTCTCTCCTCTCCTTCACTCCCCTCTCTCTTCTCAATCTCTCCATCTTTTCTCTCCTCTCTCCCACCCACCCCCCCCTCTCTCTGCCACATCTTTCTGTTTGTCTGTCTGTCTCTTTCTCTTAATATCTCTCTTTCTCTCTATTCCTTCATCTTTCCCCCTCCCCCTTTCCCTCTCAATGTAATGTCTTACCCTCTTCAGCACAAAAGCCTCTATTTGGTTGTTCTTGCGTTTAATGAGGCCAGGAACTTTGCTGAACATGTCATTAGCTCCCTCCACCTCTCCACGGGAACCCAGGCACACTGAAACAGAACAAAATTATGATGTCATGGTATTCGTATTGCAGACATACCACAGAATACACCTACAGACACACTGAAACACAAACAAATAATGGCAAGCCACTCACACAATATATTTGAAGCACATTGTGGCGAAATCACGCACACATCAAAGTAATGAAATCAAAGAAACCAACATATTTTCCACCTCTAGAGCAATTCTTATTCAAATTATTTTTTTTCTGGCACAACACCTTTTATGTCCATTTACTAATAATTTCAGTGTGGACTTTACTGAAAAACAGTTAATGAAAGGCACAAAAACTGTAAATTTGCAGTTTTCTAAAAAAGCTCAAGCTTTGGAGTTCACCAAACTTTGGCAGCCATTTTCTCGATTATAATTTTACATTTGAAACCAGGCACACCCCACCTTCTTCAATTATAAATATCTTGACTAAAAGATAGACACGTAATTTTTCCATAAAAAGCAAGGCAAATGAACAAGCTTTTAAGATGGTACCAAAAACTCCATATTCCAAAAAACTGACGAGCACCTAATTCCAGTGTCTTATGACACATTGGGTTGGTTTGTTTTGTAATACAGGGTGCCCACTACGGCTGGATGGGGCCGATCGCCTGACTAGATCGCCTGAAACTGAAAAAAAAACACGTTTGTTTTTGAGGTGATCGAGTCAGGCGATCGGCGTCGATCCCATCTGTAGTGGGCACCCCGTATTAGAGTAAAGACAAGCCCATTGAAATAATATAACAAGATTAACAGACTGCCACATATCCTAAAACATTGCCACATATCCAGGGACATTGCTACACACAGTCAAAATATACCAAAGCGGTGACCCATTGACGAGGACAAAAAAGGTTGTCTTAGACTGAAGGAATTCTTGAGCAGTGTCATTATCAGGCTTGCTAACTTTTAAAAATCCCAATCAGGGAAATTTATTGTTATAACATCTGATTACGTACCAATGGACAAAATCACAACTAGTGGGACCGGTTTTTGAGGTATTGTACGATACATCTTTTCAAATTTACGAATGCCAAATCCAGTACACTTCCTGTAAAATTCGGTAGAGCTTGACAAGCTGAATTATAAAATACAAAATACGAAACGGGCGAAGAGAGAAGTAGTTGTTTGTAGGGGGAGACTGTCTTGGACAGGTGGGCGTTTTAAATCACTTTCGGCTGTATATTGAATCAGTGGAGAATTTGCTACAATACAAGTAACCAGATGTACCCAGCCTTCAGGGAAACCCTGTACAAGCTTACCTCCCACCAGGTATGTGTAGTAAGCCTGCGACCATTTCGACTCCTTCTGTAATCTGAAAATACAAGAACAACAAGTGCAAACATATTAATTTATCTGATATTTTCCCCCTTTTTTTAAAGTAAGAGTTTTATGGCACTTAAAACATAAACAGGTCATATTATTAGTGCCGAAAACTAGAGGTGCTTCTTGAGAGTGATATGCAAAGAAAGGAAGGAGGAGAGAAAAGGACAATAGATGTTTGATAGGATAATGCAGTTACTACTACTGCTACGGCTAACAATAGTAATAAAAAGCACAACTAACACCAATAACAACAAAAATTACCAACAACAATAGTACTACTACTATTACTACTACTAACAGTAACAACACTAATGATAACAATAGTACTGCTAAAACAGGGTGCCCATTATGGCGGGATCAGGCCGATCGCCTGACTCGGTCGCCTGAAACAGAAAGCAAACACGTTTGTTTTTGAGGCGACCGAGTCGGACGATCAGCCTGATCCGCCGATTCCATTCGAAGTGGGCATCCCGTATAACACCACCACCAACAAAAACAATAATAACAAAGATATATTACAAACACGACAACAAGTGTGCACCTACCTGGCAAAGCCGTCCTGACTGGCGTCCCAGTTCAGTTTGAGCATGTGACACCAGCCTGTGGAGAGAACGGGGAGTTTTTTGGGTTATTTTAGTTTTAGTAAGAGGTAAGAGTTTTATGGTACTTGCAACACAATAAAATCATATAAGGGTTGGAGATTTGAGGTCTTACAAGCGAGTAACAAACACAAGAAAGAAGGAGTAGAGATCAGGACGATAGATGTTTGATAGGAAAGAAGGAGCAAACCACACCAGAGCACCCTTCAACCATCCACGAATGTGGAGGTAACACAGGCTGATAAACAGATAGACTAACAGGCTGACAGACTGACAAATTGATAGAGTGACAGACTGATAGAGATAGATTGAGAAACTGATAGATTGGTAGACTGAAAAATTGATATGTTGACAGACATGTTCACATTTTCGACACCACTTAACAACCGTTGGGTAGGTAGGATCTCAAATACATTTCATCTCAGTGCAAAAATACACTTACTGATCTCACATACAGACACATAATATAGTGATAAACAGACATATTAGTACTATCTTGGTGCAAAAGAACACTTACAGACCTCTATCTATCTCTCTCTCTCTCTCTCTCTCTCTCTCTCTCTCTCTCTCTCTCTCTCTCTTTCTCTCACACACACACAGACACACACACACACACACACACAGAAACATCAGTTCTATCTCAGTGGTAAAACACACTTACTGATCTCATAGAGACACATGAGCTCAATCTCCCGCTGTCCTTTAGCCTCCTCTAGCGCCCGGTTGTACAGCGTAAGGGACATATCATTCTCTTTCTGCTCCGACAAAACCAGAAATCAAAAGAGAAATTTCAATTACATGATTGTAACTAACACAGAACAGCGAGGAAGACAAGAAAGATCAGTTTATTTGCTTTTTTGTTAGAGCATAAATTACACATTAGGAATGCATCAGCATGATAAGATTAGATAAGATAAGATAATAATTTATCATCTCAGAGGGAAATTTTTCTTGGCTGTACAGGACCGTAAAAAACACATGCAGGCATACATAAAAATTTTTAATTATACATTACTCTCATTAAAATTCAATATGAAAAAAGAAGTAAAGCTGACAAAAAGGTACATTCACATCAAATGCATCATTCAACCACATGCAGGAATTTAATTAAAAGACCTTTAGAGTTATATAGATACATACTCTAAAGCGCAATACACATCTATGCTAATTCTTACAATAGCTTTATGCTAGATGGTAAAAAACTTCTCTTATATCTTTCTTTCTTTGTTTTTGGAGGTACATATCTGCTGCTGCATGATCTTACAATTTGCGAGGAAAGGGAAAGGATAATGGTTATTTAGTGAAAAAAAAAAGGAAGTGAGGAAGACAAGAAAGCTTTGTTTGTTTGTCAGCGCACAGTGAAGCACATCGACAAAATAATGGCTGTTAAGTGCTGGGGAAAAGTAAGACTGAGAGACAGAAACAACAGAAGGAAAGCGAAAAAGTAGGATTTACCAGTGGTGCCCTCCAACCACCTGCTCAAAAAAGCTTGGTGCAAAAAGAAATAAAATCAGTCTTTAGAAAGAAATTTTTCTGGCACTTGCAACACAAACTGGTCATATACATGCCAAAGATTAGAGGTGTTTTTGAAAGTAAAATACAAAGAATGGAAGGAACAGAGATAAAGACGATATATGTTTGATAGGAAAGAAGGAGCAAACTACAGCAGATCACTTGCAAACCACCCACAAAAAGCACCCCCCTCCCTCCCTCCCTCATTCCCCTTTACTCACTTACACCCCCCCTCCCTCCCTCCCTCCTCACCCTTCCTTTCCCCCCTTCCCTCTTATCTTCAGTCTGCGTATCCCCCCCTTCCTCCCCACTCACCTCCAATCTGTGTATTCTCCCCTGAAAGAACAAGAAGAGTGAAGAGTTGGGGAATTCCCCTTCCTTCTCTTTGATGATGGTCTCCGCCTCTTTGGTTCCTGGTGGTGGGGGGGGAAACAATGTAAAACAAAACAAAAATCCCATAATTTCCTGCCAAGAAACTACCAGAAAAGAAATCATAAATCATAGGAAGCCACTTGAACTAAGGAAACATTTTTTTTACTGTCAGATAAAATGTCAGAACAACACCAAATACTTATGAAACTACAATTAACTATTGAAAAAAAAAATCATAAAAAGCAAGTTTAACTACAGAAATATTATTACGTCGTGAAATCATAACACTCAACACTTATGGAAAGATGATTAACCATCAGAAATTAAAAATATAAAAAGCCCCGTAAATTTACAGACCGTTGGAGAGGAAATCATAAAAAGCCCCTTTGGAAAAACATTTTTAAGTCATAAAAGAAATCCGAACAACATTATCAAACACTTACCAAAAGCTGACTAACCCTAACCAGACAACTTACCAGCCTGAAAGTGGTTGGCTCCGTCCAGGGCAAAGAAAGGCCTGAGGACTGTATGGTACCAAAGAAGGGCCAGGGTGGCTAGAGGCGCCTTCATGTCCCGGCTGTGACTTGTGAACACGAGACACGTGAGACCAACCTGTGGGAGGGTGGGTGGGTGTGGGAAGAAGAGGAGGAGGGAGGAAGGGGAGGGTGGGGAACAGGGAAACGGGAAGGGGAAGGAAAAGGTTTGAGTTTGAGGAATAAGAAAGGGAGGAGGGAAGCGGGATGAAAATGGGGAAGGGGGAACAGAGAAGGAAGGGGACAAGGCAGAAGGAGTGGGGGAAAAGGTGGGGAAAAGAAGATGGAGGGATAGGAGGAAGGAGGAAGGTAGGGAGAATGGGGCATACAGGGAAAAAGTTAGACAAAATGACAAAAGTTCTCTCCACAATAAAACAGAATCCAATTTTTAAAAAGTCTATTTGTCAGCACCGACAACAAATGAATCAATTTCTCAACATAAACAACAACAACAATAAGGGACTCAATTCATAATTAACAACAGCAACAACTATAATAGCAATAACAAGAGACTCCAACGCTTAACGTGTATAGAAAGACAATTAAACCAATAAAGGAGCTCTCAACTGCATTGAGTCATATGAACGTCTCTATGACTTCAATAACAACAACAACACCAAAAACCATTGTCCTACCTCTCTGTATCAACAAAAACAACAACAACAATTACAACAGATATGGTTGCTTTTAAGCACAAGGGAGCTATCCCAAAAAATGCAGTTTTGAGAAAATCGAAGGTAAAGTTTTTGGACCCTAGTTCAGTTTCTTTAAAAGACAAGGAGAGTAGTCTCTTTAACCAAACAAATAGACACATCAACGAACCAAACTTCTCCCTATAGGTAGGGCAATGCCCACTTTTGGTGTAGGTCAAGAATTCTGGAAATTCCTGAAACCTGGGCTAGCCCGCTTGTCTATAAAAACAACCATATAACATAAACACAACCGTTGACCCACCTCTCTATCTCCTTCGAATCCCAAAAACTCTATGAGCTTGAGAATCTTCGGGGGTACCATAGAAATACACAACTGGAAGGTTCCGTAGCCAAAGTTGACAGCGCCGAGAAGTCTCGACAGGACCTCTGCCGACAGCTCCCCATCTCCTGCCCCGCCACCACCACCGTCCACAGCGCTGCCGTTGTGCTGATCCTGCTTGCTTGAACCGAGAGCATCTGTGCTGGGCTGGACTGACACGTTGGAAGACGCGCCAACTGGGTCCACCGAGGAGGAGAACGACTGGCGCATTTTGGCAATCTTATTCTGGCTGATGGAATCCATGAGCTGCGTCACTTCTCTGGTGAGGAGATGAAAACAGCGTACAGTTGTGAAGCGCACAGAATATGAAACAGGGTCCCTGCCATGAACTTTCCACCAAATTCAAGGAGGTTTCAAGAGGGAATTTTTAAAATTTAAGGGATTTGGCCTTTGGTCAAGAAATTCATGCAGACAGCTTATTTATTATAGGCCTACTACACTAGTCTGAAAGGAACTGTTGTTCTGATTTTCCAACAAAAACTTTGTTCATGTCCAATTTGGCAAAATTCAAGGGGTTTTCAAGGAGATTTTTCAATAGTATATATATATATA